CTGGAGTGTCTTTAGGCCATTCCCAAAGGGGGGATATTAACACGTTCTTATACACAGTACAATTGTAAATGGGTTGATTTATCAATGTGATGCTCATATTGTGCCGGAACAACATAGAAGGAACGGCTGCTTTTTCTGTCCTCATCCTTACTATCGTCATTTTTCCTCTACATCTTTTGTGTGCTTGTCATTCTCTTGTGACCCGCTATTTCTGGGTGCCTTGATAGTCGAAGCAGATTTTGTGCTGTTGAGGCAGGGGTGAGCAGAGTATGCCTGATTCCCCATTTGGATTTCTCTGTTGACATCCACCCCTTGGCGCTCATATGAACTTATGCAGTTGCGAGCACCGTAAAACCTTACAAAAACAGACAAGACTTTGTTGGAAATCTTATTTCTGTATGGCCATTATTTGCGCTGACTTTTAACACAGAGTGCTGATATATTCACATCTTTTAATTTTAATTTGTTTTCCAAAGGCTGAATAATTCTGTTTAGGTACAAACGGGTAACTCGCAATTGGTGTTTTGTATCCCCCCTCTTCTCCCTGCCTCTTCAGTGGACGCAATACTCGTTTCGTGGTCAGGTCCTATCGAAAAGCTTTCTGCAGACTGTCGGTTCATGGGTATCAGGCTATGTACATATATCTGCACTATTTCTGCATACGTATGAAAGATTTAAAAAATGGGAAGGTTTGAGTGCACTATGGGCCCGAAAACATGTATACTGGCCTACGATGAATTTGCTTCCGGCTGAAACTAGACGTGAACGACAAATTTAAATTTCATTTTCGTATTCAGCGCCCAAAAATCCATAAAGTTATGTTTGAGCCCAGAAGCAGAAACATTAGGACATTTTAGACCAGACGTGTTATTAAACAAGACATTTTTGAAATGATAAATTATTGTTGCGAATAACCTGAGCACAAGCTTGTTGGCTTCATTGGCTTGTTGTTTGTCTCTTCTTTCTTCTTTACGAAAGAAAACTCGGGCAACATTCCCTTTGGCCATTGACATGAAAGTCAAAGAGAGATAACCAAAAGAATTGGGGTCGAAAAGATGAAAGGGGAAATCACCCACGTTCGTAAAATTGCTCAAATTGTCTCCCTTTGTGGGAGTTTGTGGCCAGGTGGTAGTAGTTTTGGCGGGATCAGGGGGTAAGGTAAGCTTGTTTGTTCAGAAGTGAGTTTGTTCTTTTCTTTTTCTCAGAAGCGTATTACGTGTTCATTCCTTATTCAAACAGCATTAAACTATCTGTCTCTTACTCTCTCTGTCTCTCTCTCTCTCTCTCTCTCTCTCTCTCTCTCTCTCTCCTTCTCCCACTCTTTTTCTCTCTCTCCCTCTTTCTCTC